GGCGATTTTCAGCAACTTCGATAACTACAGGGGCATCACTCCTCTCTTTAACAGGGTATTGTTAAACAGAATGAAGGACCCGTAGACGCCCAACTTCGAGACCAACAGGCTGGACTCCATAAGGATCGGTCGTGCACAGACCAAATCGCAACACTACGGATCATTGTGGAACAACCAACTGAATGGAATTCATCACTCTATATCTACTTCATTGACTATGAGAAAGCATTTGATAACATGGACAGGACAACACTATGGAAGCTTCCTCGACACTACGACGCGCCTGAGAAGATAGTCAATATCATACGGAATTCCTATGATGGATTAAACTGCAAAATCGTGCATGGAGGACAATTGACAAAGTCGTTCGAAGTAAAGACCGGTGTCAGGCAAGGTTGCTTACTCTCACCTTTCCTGTTTCTCCTGGTGATCGACTAGATCATGAAGACGTCAACATCTGAGGGGAAGCGTGGGATACAGTGAACAGCTAGGACGCAGCTGGATGACCTAGACTGTGCAAATGATCTGGCTTTTCCATCGCACATGCAACAACAAACGCAGGAGAAGACGACCAGTGTAGCAGCAGTAGGTCTCAACATAAACAAAAGGAAAACCACGATTCTTCGATGCAACACAGCATGCAACAATTAAATCACACTTGACGGAGATTTGGAAGATGTAAAAACATTTACATATCTGAGCAGCATCATTGAATAACACGGTCGATCTAACGCAGATATGAAGGCGCGGATCGGCAAAGCAAGAGCAGCATATTTATAATTGAACATCTGGAACTCAAAATAATTTTCAACCAACACCATGGTCAGAAATTTCAATACAAATGTCAACACAGTTCTATTGTATGGAGAACTACGGAAGCCACCATTCAGAAGACACAAGTATTTATTAACAGCTATCTACGCAAAATACTTCGGATCCGTTGGCCAGACACTATCAGCAACAACCTATTGTGGGAGAGAACAAACCAGATTCCAGCGGAGGAAGAAATCAGAAAGAAGTACTGGAATTGGGTAGGACACGTTGAGAAAAGCACCCAACTGCGTCATAAGGCAAGCCCTCACACGGAATCCCCAAGGCCAAAGGAAAAGAGGGAGACCAAAGAACACATTACGCCGAGAAATGGAGACAGATATGAGAAAAATGAACCGGACAGAACTAGAGAGGGAGGCCCAGGACGGGGTGGGTCGGAGAATGCTGGTCTATGCGGCCTATGCTCCATTGGGAGTAACAAGAGTAAGTAAAGTAAAGTTATAAACATAGATTCCGACAGCTTCAGCAATATACAAAAGACGAACTTGTAAAGCATGATGTAAATTTGATGGAGTACAGTGGATAACTTTAAAAGCTTTATTCAAGTCAATTTGATGTCCTGTGTCCACTAAGTGACCACTAATAAAATTCTTAACCAGCCTTACTTCATCTCCGCTCAACCAAGACCGATATTGTTCTGCTATACGATGACGTACTTGGCGAATCGTACCCCTTTCAATAACAGAAAATCTCAAAAACTGGCAAAAACTGATGTGGCAGGTGTTATGACCCAGTGAAGATTAAGTTACAGGTGACTTCCGAGGACTGTTATTAGACTAAAATTCTATAAATATTCTTATTGTATAATTATCTAATAATTATCATGTTAAGACTAATGGTGTCCTTGGACTTTAAATCGACATTTCCTATTGGCCAATATTTATTTCACTTGTCAAATATTGTACAAATGTTGTTTTCTATTTTATGGTACGATGTGGTTTGTTTGATTAGTATATAAACAGAGTATTTCTGAAATAAACGATTCGATTTGATTCATATTACAGAAGCTGGTATTGTGTTCTGGACTCAAGTGGAAGGGCTAGGAGGACATAGGACCAATTAGGACGTTAAACTGCTCATACCGGCTGAACGTCATTGGTTTGGCATAGTGCGAAATTGTATAAGTCGTATTCTGACTGGTCGATAAGTCGCGTGATAGAAAAACCAAACATCAAGGTCATAACAGCAGGCAGGATTGATAAACGATTAGTAGGCTTCTTGGAACAGATTAAACAACAAAAATATATATTTCGGAAAGTGTGTTTCAAATGTTGAGACCTACATGAACAATGACATCAAACAATACAGTATGCTAAATATACATAAAAGTTGGCTTGCCACTTCGATTCGTTTTTGATATGAATAGTTTATCCTATCATACTACAGAAAAAAATTAATGTACGTTCTCAAAATGTTGCACATACAAACTGCCAGGAATAGTGCCAAGGACTCCTGGGAATTTATTAGTAACACCAAAATATTGTTAGTCAAAAACAACTTCATGATACCATTATATTTACTTTTTCATTCACTATTAAAAAATAAGATCAATGGTAACAACTATCACGAAGTTATGGTCCTTGGAGTTACAGTTCTTTAGTGATGCCACTGAGATGATAATAATAACAGATTAAAAAGGCATTTACTGAAGGAAAACTGAACAAGATTTTTTACATTCTTGTGATAATGAGAACCACAAGTAAAGACAAACTGCCTGGTTTCGCCACTGTTAATTGAAGCGTGAACAGTATTTTCAATAGATATCGTCATTTTATTCTATCTGTGTGTGGGCTAGGATACTGCCCGGGTGCCCAGACCGAAGCAGGTGGTTTTCTTAGAGGGGCCACAACCCGAGCCTTTGACCTAAAGGTCTGACCCACAAGGCAGTGGAGCATCGCGAGATGCAGTTCAATGGTAGCCGGTGACCAACAATTGGTTCATACGCCATTTGTTCCCGCAGGATACTTGAGCCCATGTGAACTGTTGGTTTGGAATCAGGGTTTTCAAACTCCCCCAGGTGCACTCGCCGTGTCCATCGGCCTGGTTTAAGCGCTGGGCATTCGCTATTCGTCCTGTCAATTTCGTAAACAACACCTCAGCCACGAGAAGGCAGTGAGTAGGACTTCTTTGGTAGAGGCTGTATACGCGTGGTCGTGTGAAAGCATTCCGGGAGGGGAGCGGGCCCTCCTTAATCTCGGCCGTACCAGGGAATTTGGGGGCCACATCCATGTGTGTCAAACGATTCGATTGCTCCCACGGAGCCAATTATATGGTGTGTACTATTCAATCGACTCTCAAAGTTTAAGGAAAAGAAGTGCGCCTTTATTTTATCAATGAACATCGTTTTTAGATTTGTACAGCTGTGATAGGAAGGTTATTATTAAGGCTTATATATATATATATATATATATATATAATTTCATATGTTGGGTAAAAATATAGAGTACAATTATAATGATAAGAGCAGATAGGTGTCGAGTAACTTCCAAAGGAAATACAGTGACTTACCACTTCCATAAGACACGCTAAAAAGGTAGATTTTTCCACCGACAGAAGTGATATTTACGATTAAACCAGGTCGGGTTGAACTTGAATTTGTTTTTTTCTGGTATTCAATCATCATTCGAGTAGCCAAAACAGAACAAATATAGTGATTCTTTAGACCAGTATCATTAACAACATCCCAAGCTTCACCTGGAGATATGTCTGTAATTTCATAATACGGTTTCCCCATATTTTTCTGTAAAAATGTTACAGCACTATATGCATTGTTAACTACGATATCTAAGCGACCTTTTTGTTCACGATCAATCTGATGAAATAGATTTTCTATTTCATTTTCATTAGAATGATCAACCATAACAGGAATAGCTTTCTGAAAATAATAACGATTGTTTAACACCATTGAAAAAGAATGTCTTGAAATGGTACTACTTCAACAACCACCCTAAGACATAAATGTGCAGTAGAGAAAAAATAATTTGCTTTACAATAAACACTTTACATTGTCATTGCAAAAAGATTAAAACAATAACTCATCTACCTAAACTAGATATTATCTTAATTTAAAGTTAATAGTTGTGCATGAGCAGGATTTGATTTTGATGGCTAACGAAAACTAATTCACACTATTTGGTTGCATTCCAGTATTAATAGGGGTAACTGGATTAACGACAAAGTCAGTTAGTCATAACCAATATAACATTTAGGACAAATAACCAACTGCTCAGGTTGTTACATCAGTCCAGCATAACGAGGTGAAACGAATGAGTATTAAGATAGTTGAGATATTACAATCAATAATAGTAGGACTAAAACTAAACAAAATGGTTTGTAAAAGGATGAATTCGAGTAAAGGAAAGCGCAAAGTAATTTCGAAAATTGAGATCTGAGAAAAAACGAGGAATGAACTTATCTCCATTACTGTGATTCTGAACAATATCATCCAGGTTATCCAACCGGTAATCACGATTATTACGCAGACCTTAACTCCGTAGTCCGCACAAATACGGCTTAGATCAACAGTAAATAACTTAATAGATCTATTTTACATTTTGGTTCGGCCACCTCTAGCTTTATTCCAATTCCAGCCAGCATTGAGTGTCGAGTTATAGCAACAACAAATGACGTCATAAGTTAAAAAAAATACATGCGATATGAAGACATGGATTTAAAGTATAAGCAACAAACAAGTGAGTCAATACATTTCATTTTCTACCTAGTAACAAAATTACTTAGGGTGATAATATGGTTTCTACAGCTGGTTTTGAGTCACGTTCTCTAACAAACAGAAACGTCCGATATTCAGACTTTTATAAGGTAACCCTGTTAAAAGCTTGACTTGTAACTAGAATCGTACCTGCATTACTCTACTAAGATGTGCAGACAGTGTCATCATTGTTCGCACGACTGATGCATTCCATAACCTAGGATACAAAATTCTATTTGCTAGATTAGCAACATTCAGAACAATCTAGAACTTCGGAGGTGAGGACATAGTATCTCGCAACGTGGGAAAATCAGTTCACAGACCGGAGAAAAACTCTGACTTTTCATGTGGATTTGGGTAGTATAGTTATCTCAAATGCTTAAAGTATGTCAACGTAGAACGCAAATCTCGAAAACCATATTTACAGCAATTAGTAAAGCAACTTTGTGCAGAAGACAATCGTATCGCTTTTGTGCAAAGAGAAAAACACAGGTAAAGAGTTAATAATACCTACACCACCAAAGTTATTGATGATATCTGACGTTTCCTGGAGACTACCGCCAATTCCGCCATTAAGCGGCACTGATGTTCGTCCAGTTAAATACACTGTGGCTCCAGACTTTCCTAATGATACTGCTATGCCTTTACCAATGCCACGAGTAGCTCCCGTAACAAGACATACACAACCAGTTAGATCTTTCATTCTTCAAATTATGCGTTCCTACAACAGAATAAGAAGTGTTCACTGTAAACACAACAAAAAATCAGTCGATAAATGTATACTTAGAGTAAACATTGGCATGTCACTTTCTAACTAAAATACAAATAATTCACGTCAACAATCATAATGATGCATGTTTTGATAGTATGAAAGCCAATTCGTTAACATGAAAGTCATGAAATTAAAACAAACCAAGGATTAGGGATAATTGTTAGGTCAGGAACAAAAGATCCCTGCTTTAGGGGGACCAGTGACACCAAAGATGATCATCCTAACTTCCGCACACAACATTTGTAATACTGTAAATAATACCTCAGACTCTTTAAATTGTAAAAGAGATCAATTCAGCGAACAATTTGGGGTAAGCAAGACAAAAATTGATTTTTCTCATGCACAACTGAAGAACTCTCATGTATTCTTTTTTTCACTGAAAACCCGATTTAAACTGAATTTTAAAACCCAACAAACGATTTGCACCTGATAAACTCATGAAGTACTGACGACTCCTAAAAAGATGCAAAGAAAGCAACCTGATTTCCACTCAAGTGTTACACTAGTTATTTCAGAAATTTTTAGTTGTCGTTTACAGCAGGCTTTTTAATTTAATAACACCTACGAAAATCGTATTATTTGACCGTACATAACAGTAAATCTGACGATTCGTTTCCCTGAAGAACTTCGGGAAGTTTCGGTGCCTACGGTCATGACGGATGTCGAGGTAACGCGTCAGAGTATGACAGAGGTTTGTGACGTCATTTCGCGTTTTTGAGGCTATTCTTTCACTGAATAGACCTCGGCGCTGGTAGTTCTCGTGATCTCCATAATCAGGTCGGCAGAAGCAGCCTGTTCGTCTATAGAGTTATTTCGAAATTAAAAGAACTCTGTAGACACGCCCACGTCAACGGTCTGTTGAACAATGACCACTCGCATTCGTAGCAACATTCCTGTTGCTGAACCGCGGTGTGGCTCTATGTCATGGAAGAGTTGATATCACCTTTGTCGGTCGGTCGGGTTTCCACATTTGAACATACCCTTATTCAAAGTGTCAATACCCCATCAAACACCACTAGTGAAACCACAAGGCGTAGAGAAACCGTTGGAATTGCACGCTAGATGGCAAAAGATTCTTAATCTTACATAGCTGAACAGTCTGTTCCGCCATACAAAGTAAGCTAGTAAACGAGAATGAAATCCAAAACTATAAAAGATGTATCACAGTTTCTAAAAAACAAAAAATAAAAGTAATGTTCTCGCTTAGGCGGTACATACACTAATTTTGGTTTCGCCTCAGCTTACTAGTCGGTTTTTTTCAGCTTATCTCGTCCGTTTTTATCCATTTTTGCTCGTTTTAAGTGTGCTTTTTAGTGTATATTTTAACGGTCTTAGGCTTTTGTTGGCATTTATAACACAACTTACGTCAATATAGTCATGAAAAATTCATGCAAACGACCTGGATGCCGTTTTGCTGTTACATCTGGCATGCAGTGCGACAACTGCAAAGGTCGGTTCCACGAAGCTTGCACAGATCTCTCAGCAACTGCTTACAACGGAGTCAGCAAGTCAGATGATAAGTGGGAATGTGTTGCGTGCAGCACGGATGCTGCAGTCTTGCTGAGTAACACCATTGTCCTGTTGACAGGTCTGCGGAATAAGTTGTCAGCAAACTTAGAAAAAGACAGTCATAAAACGGGTAGACAAACAAGGACAAGCAACGAAAACATGAAGAAGGATGTCGACAGGTCTACTATCGATGGAGCATGCATTAGAACTAATGATGACATGTTGAAACTCAGCACCATCATTACGTCGACGGTAACAGACTTTCTCAGTAAACTCGGGTCTCCCGGCTGAGGATCCTTGAATGCACCAGTGTTTCCCGAAAACTCTGTAGGTGATTGGACCCACGTTGACAGAGCTAAAAAGAACCAGGCGTCACCGTCTAAGCTGTACGGAAATCAACTGATGATTTAGTTACACAGTCTACCCTCAAGAATGTTCGTCCGGTCATCAAAGCGCCTAGGATTCAGAAACGTGCCTCGACCTTCAAACAACAAGGTGCTGAACTTGAACGCACCGGGAAACCTGGGGAAACAATAGCGGTTCGTGATGACTCTCTCATAATCATGAACCTCAAAGACAACCCTGACCTTCCTCTCAATTTGCAGGACAAAAATGATAGGATGCTCTGGAGTGAATGAATAAGAAACCTGAACTTCCTAGAATAGAGCCTTTGACGGTCACACGGCTCACTCAGGGAAAGGAATCTAAGCATCAAAATCACTCGAGGCTACTTCGTGTAACACTTAAGAATGCAACCGACGTAGAGGATGTCCTGCTAGCTTGTCATTTACTGAGATCCCATGGGAACGTAAGAATACTGCCCGACATACCGTATTCTGAGCGCAATCTCATCCGGAACATCCCTAAAGAATCTCATGAGACGTTATTCAGCGAAAGAAATATAACTGTGCAAGGTGTACCGGAAAACATGGACCCTAGTTAAATAAACTCTGATATTAGAGAATGGAAATTCATCAAACAGTCCTTGAGGCTCAAAAACACATTAACTCAACATATGACGAGGCTAGCCAAGACGGACGGTGATTCTAGACCCTGCTAATGAGGATAACTTTCCCATCCTCCCATATGGTGGCTGCAACTCTGGAAGCATTTCGTGCCAACATACGTTGGTTGCCAACTGGAATCCACATGCACCCGGACAGGCCATATGAATACAGGACCAAGCATAAAGGCAAGCCGGAGTTGATCATTACACTTGTGGACTGTGTCGATGATTAAAAAAACGTGTAAAGCACAGGGCCTACCAACTCGGCAAACCTTATGTAGGTAGGCTACCTGTCCATTCACGTAAGACTCATACAGACAAACAGGAAGAAGCTCACGCGTTTCAAATTGAAAGTATAAACTGCTTATACATCAACGTCGCAAGCTACGCGGACTCAGCAATGCTAATAAGGTTGATCTGATAGGAATATCTGAACCCTGGATATTTTCTCAGTTCTAAGAACATGAGCTAGCAATACCTAGGATGTCTTTGTTTCTCAACGACAGAAGGTGCACCAGTTTCACAACCTCCAGTTTAGCAATCTTGAGGAATACATATGGTGCTCTGTAAGATTGTCTACTACTTCGAGGTGCCTAGTCGGAGTCATACGTAGGAAGCCCACTCCCGACATCGAGTATGACAGTCGTATGCTGGAAGGACAATCCCACTCTAAGCGTCTCGGTTTCACTCATATCCTGATTCTAGAGGACTTCAATTTCCCTAGAGTCAATTTCGCGGGACATGCTTATATTGCAGGTGAAAACTCAACTGAAGCTCGTTTCTTCAACTTCATTGAGAATTTGGGAATATACGATAATGTGAAGTCGGCAACTCGTTGGAGAAACAGTCAGACACCGTCGCGCTTAGACTTTGTATGTACAAACGAAGAATTTCTGGTTGACAACCTCTCAATCCTGGCTCCCCTGGGGAAAAGCGATCACGCCGTTGTAGCTTTAGGTTTTATCAGCAAAACTCTGCTAAGACATCCCACCAACTACAAGCGCTGCAATTCCTAACGGTTGAATCTGTCAGATTTATAGGAATACCTACAACAGGTGGATTGGGATGTTCACCCTCAGTTCGATGCGGATACTCATTGGGACTTCTTACTGCATACCCTCATATGTGCTACAAAGCAATCAGTTCCTCAAACGGTCCCCAAAAGCTACAAGCAATCTAAAATCATCAAGAACCGCACAATTCGCCCACTAAGCCGCAAAAGGCACTGTTGGGCAGAATACAAACTAACTGACAACAATGGAGCGTACAGGCAATGCAAACATATAAGGAACATATGCATGAAGACTGTGAGGGAAGACAGGCTTTAGTACCAGACAAAGCTTGTGGATAAATTTGTCTCTAATCCATAAAGCTTATTCCGTTATGCAGCCACTCTTCGTCAAGCCAAAACTGGAGTTTCCCAACTGCCAGGTCCTAACGGCCCGACCAATAACGACGGCGACGCCGCTAACCCTTTGACTGAACAATACTCTCGGACATTTCAACTGACCCACATCAACTATACTGATGACAGCTTCATCTGCAACTCCAATGGACTTTCCGAAGTGAACCCGAGCGCTGACATGGTGTTCCGGAAACTGCAGCACTTAAGATAAGACACTTCTCCTGGCCCGGATACGGTCCACTCTGCTACACTGAAGAAAGAAAGCCCCGATCCTGGCAACGCCGCTTAGCGTAATGTTCTCACACTCGTTAAGTCGAGGAAAACTACCGGAAAAATGGAAGCTGGCTCACATCACATCAATTTTCAAAGGAGGTCGACGCAGCTAAACTTCAAGTTACCGACCAGTGGCTCTTCTCTCAGTACCTTCAAAAATCATAGAGTCCCTGATATGCGATGGTATAAATGACTATTTACTGTCCTTAAATTTATTCTCACCCCAACAGCATGGTTTCAGGAAGGGTTACTCTTGTATTACCAACCTGCTGACTGCGGTGCACAGATGGTCAAGCATCCTCGATCGCAAGGAGAAGGTTGATATCGTTTACCTTGATTTCTCAAAAGCCTTTGATAGGGTTAACCATATATGTCTTATCAATAAGCTCAAACGATTGGTTATCAGACCACCTCTAATCGATTGGCTTACTTCATACCTGAAAAATTGACATTTTAAGGTCAGGGTTAAGTTCACTTTATCTCAGGCTATGGAATGTCCTGGTAGGTCTCCCAAGGCTCAGTACTAGGACCTCTTCTCTTCTTGACTTACATAAATGATCTAACTCAACAGGTAACGTCAGACTTATTACGTTTCGCCGGTGACGTGAAACTTTGGAGAGAGACGCGCAACCAAGACGATAGACAGGCACTTCAGGAGGATCTGACTCGACTTAAAAATTGGGCAGACGACAACGGACTTACCTTTAACACTTCAAAGTGTAAAGTAGTCCATCTGCGACATGTCGCAGACTACAGTTATAACTCAGGTAACTCCTCTCTAGTAGTATCTCAAGTCGAAAACGATTTAGGAGTCTTGGTGCCCTACGATTTAAAGTCTTACGCTAACTGTAACAAAAATGCTTTACGAGCAAACCTTGCACTGATAACATTGAAGCGCATTTTTGGCCAGTTTGACAGAAGAACTTTCCACATAATCTTTAATAGTTTTATCCGTCCCCATTTAGAGTACGGAAACATAGTATTTCCTCCCTCACTCCAAAATGATAAGGACACTCTGGAGCGTATCCAACGGCGAGCCACGAAATCAGTTCGAGGACTCAAATTTCAACCTTATTAAGAACGCCTCGAATCACTTAACCTTTAGCCATTAGAGTATAGGCGTCTAAGAGGTGGTTTTCTAATGGCTTACAGTATCCTTAACACTTCTGGACATCCTCTCAAACACCTACTTAAGCCTAGTTCCAACACTAACCTAAGAGGTAACACCCGAAAACTGGAGGCACGACATAGCAGAACGGACTGTAGACACAACTTCTACTCCTTAAGAGTTGTCAAATACTGGAATGCGCTGCTGGCTGAGCTAGTCCAAGCGACTTCCCATGAGTCCTTTAAGAGACAACTTGATCTATTCTTAAGGACTAAGGATAGTATCACACTATGATTTACTAATTTCTTTTCCTCTTTCATTGTTAATATACCTAGGTTCCTGCCTGGAGGATTTGGTGATCCCCTGCTACTAGACACTGAAGCCTGTTAAGCGAAAGCTTCTTCTATTCCGTCCACAACCATTTGTACCATTTGAATCTTCCAACAAGGAACAGACTCACAGTTTATTGTTCGGTGTACCAGATCACAGTGGTCTCACCATTAAAGATGGCACAGATATTCAGAGATTGGCGATGCCTCTACACCTTTATAATCGAAGTATGTCAACCCAGTAAAATTAGATGTGAGAAATGAAGTGGTTCTAAGATATATTTAAAACGATAGCGATATTTCTGGAAGTGTGTAGTGTAGGCTGTACCTTGTTAAACAATCGCCCTCGTAAAAGTTATTATATCGACCTCAACGTTGTTTGAAATGAGAAGGAAAAGAAAAGCAGATAGCTCAGATCACAAAGTGGAGAGGTAAA